CACTTGATCACATTTATACTCCTGTCATCTCTTTCTCCCGTGACTTAAGATTCTTTGTTATTTCGGGGAAAACAATTGCTGGGAGTTCTTGTTCATTTAGGCTGTGCCCATATCCAGCATTTATATTAGAATGATGCTGATCAGTGGTAACTGTCGAAAGGCAAACTTTATATCAGGATTTTGTTGTTTTTTTTCACTGAAAATAGGATATCAAGTCATTTGTGGCTCAACCATAAGTAGCTTCATTTTTGTTCCTCTCCAGGTAATCTTAATCTTTTTTTTTCTGATGCATCTACCACAAGCTAGGACAGGGTTGCAACCAAGAAATCTTAGGCCTGGAAAAAGTCCTTTGAGAAGCTCCCTCATCTCAATCCAGTGAGGGAACATTGACAGGACATGTTTTATAAACACCCTTCTAATTAATTTTTTCTCCAACTTAATAAAACCTTATATTCAACCTGATTAAAATACAGTACACCTATTTGAATCATTCATTTCTTTATTATTTAAGTAAACACATTCATCATAAGTTGTTTTATCTAATATTTTCCCTCTAGGGATTAATCCTCTTGCTATGAGTAGGTAAAAGTGTGTATGTCACAACCTTTTAGAGAGTTACATTCAAAATTTAATTAAACTACTTTATTATTCTTGTATACAAATGAACTTGGCACCAAAACATAGCTAATGAATCAAATTTTAATATTATACAAGTTTAAGTTTTAATTTTATAAGGAAATATTTAAAAAAATTCTCAATCTCCCCTAGTAGGAGAATTGTGACATTTGTTTTATAGGTCTTCTCTCTTTTCTAAATTATGTACCATCCCTCTAAGAATTATGGAATTCCACATAAATTACTCATTATACTAGAGGTATTACTAAGGCAAAATATAATTTTTATAGCCTTAAATCTTACATATTTACAGTCTTAAACTAGGTAATCGAACCCAAACTCTGAGGTTTTGTTCTGTATTATTTATATCCAATAGCAAGCCAAAGTTTTAATCTGTCAAATGGCATATTATATTATGTTGTTTTCAGTACAGAGTAGTATGTGTTTCAGCTTCAGTTTTAAAGTTTCTCTTCCAGTGGTCATATGTTGACAAGCTTAAAGTACGACTAAAAGGGTCTTATGCTATAGTTAGAAAGCCAGAAAATTATGATAGATATAGAACATTGTTTGCTTTGTGTGTGTTGTTATTCTGTGTTCTTAAGTGCATTATTTAAGTAAGTAAAAAATGATTTAATGTTCTAGTACTATTAGTATAAAAAGTAAGATTTAAATTTCATTGGCAACTGACAGCAAAAAACAAGAAGTCACAGGTAATTGATATATTTCTTATTTTTCATTTATATTCTTTATTTCTTACTATAAAAGTAACTAAATTGTAGAAACTTAGAAACTTATTAGGTTAGATAATGAAAAATAATAACAAAAATTCTTCATGAGTTATGCTCACGAGCATATGGTAACATGAGCTACATTGCAGGATTATTAGTTAGTCATGGGTGAAAGGGCAATAAAACAATAAAATTAAGTATAAGCTGATGTATACTGTTGTAAGCTTTAAGCTTTTTAGGATAAACAATTGTAATATCCTGTTACAATTTGCAGTCATTCTATAACAAAAAAGGGGTACTTTTAGATTTATATATTATTTTTATGGTGCTTACAAGGTTGGCCAAATTGGCTGAATACACACAGTGTTACGGTAGAGAAAATAACAGATAAAATATAAATTTTGAGTGAAAAAAAATATTTGATATTTATTTAAGAGGTTTTAGAGATTATGCAAATAAAATTTGATAATTTTCAGATGAAAAAATGAAGTTTTAATTTTAACATCAAAATCAACACTGATTCCATATATTCATAGATAGATTTTTAGTAAAAATATTTAATTAAAAAATCTGATTTTTGAGTACAGAAGACTTGTGTTTACTGAAAGTTGCCAAATTTTGTGAAAATAAATAAACATGTTAAAACTCTGATGGTCACTTTGGGGTTCTGAACTTGGTTGAATTAACTGAGCCCACAGTGAGAGGGTTAATAGCTTGTATGAAAGAAAAAAAACAACTCATGTTTTTCATAGGCAAATATACATGTAGAATTACAAATATTAGCTGTTATAGCCAATACCTAGTTATTCTAGCAACTGAACACATAAGCCTTGATGTCACTCAAAACACTTTATGTTGCCTCTAATTAATAATTATTTTACTACTGTTTTAAAGGCTTTCATTATTTGTTTGGAAACTACGTGGCTGTGTATTTGTGACCTTGTCTATAATTACAAAAGAATAAAGTCTGACCCCCTGAACTACTGTCCCTATTATCTATACTTATGACACTCCTGGGTTAGGATGTTTAAAACACAGTCTCTTATGTCATATTCTTTTTCATTTATACAACTCCATCTTTTATCAACTGCCAGGGAGGTACTCATTCCTAGTTTCTCTTTCTAATAAATCTGGATCTTCTTTTTTTTGGCACATGAACATTCCTTTCAACTCTAACTTGCCACATTCTTTCTATTAAGATTTTTCTGGTTGTTCATCTTTCTTCCATGGAGCAGGTTCTGTCCATAAAGTGGTATCTCAACCTTCATGATATAGTGACTTTGGGATCAATTCAGTCATCTGATCATTGATGTCTTTGCAAAATCTCTCAGTCACAAACTTTCTCTCTTCTGGTCTCCTTTCCAAGATCCTCTGAGTCTTAGAGTCAATACTTTGAGTGAAGGTTGAACTCAGTTATTCCTTTATGCCTACTCTCCCTTATGTTTGCTGTTGAGGGCTGTCATCTGTATCAGAGATTTTTCTTGTTTTTGTGATACTGGTTTATTTTTTTCCATTTACTCAGCTAGCTGTTTAAAAATGTTTTTGTCTTTATGGTTGATTGCTGGATTTTTATTTAGTCCTAGAAATAAAAAATGCTTTGTTTGCTATTACATGCTGAAAAAATGAATAGGGAATGTATATGTAGGTGGGAAAATTATTTACATCATCAAAAATTGGGTAGGTTGGCATAGTACTTTTTTTAATGCAGATACATATTTTATGATATAAATGCAATTGTAATATATCAGATTGTACTAGATGCTAAGCTCTTTCAGAAAAAATATTATTTAGTCATGTGGTCACAACAGAACTGCAATGGAAAAATAGGAAACTGAAGGTTATTTAAGGTTAGATAAGGTATAATAAATAATAATATAATACATTTTTACCAGCACACAGGCAAGCAGCTTGGAGAAGCTCATGGGTAATGTAATATGAGCCGCACATTACTCAAATAATGGTGTGAATAGTATTTAGACATGGTTCAAAGGGCAATAAACAATAAAATTTAAGTATAAATATATTTATACTGTTATGAGATTAAATCTACTTAGGATAAACAAATATAGTTTCATGTTACAACTTGAAGTCATACTAGAAATAAAAAAGGTAATTTAGATTTATTTTAATTTTTTTGGTGGTTACGAGGTCAGTCAAATTGGTCAACCTTGTTAACCCTTTCGAGATGGATTATAGGTGAAAGGTCATGTCATCTTGTTTGTTGACTCATTCAAAATTTTATTGAACTACTATTTCATGAATTTATGTTAATAAGTTTGGTATCAAACTGTAGATTATAATTCAAATTTTAGAACTATACATTACTCAATTTCTTAATTTAAAAGTAAATATTAAAAAACAGACACATTGATTTTTATGTGTCACATGGTATGTTGAATGCAGTACTGGTTCAAATTAGATGTTGGTGAAGTCAAAATACTAAGTCTATAGTTTTGTATGAATTAGAAACTCAAATTACAGATATTGACAAACTGGAATATAAATTAAGAAGGTTTTTATCTTTTCTCTTTGCTAAGATATTGCTCATGTAATAAATCAAACACAGTGGCATCCCACCCACCTCTTTCCATTTTTGGAAATGCTCCCTTATATACACTTACTTCTATATTTGATATGAATAACCAATCGGAAGCTCAGAATGTCTCCCTAGTGGCTTTCTCAGCCATTTTAATGGACTTGGTGCCATTTCTTTCTTTTGAAGCAATATTTCAGGGGGGTAGGAGTATCTTTAGTCTGCTCAAATTTCATATTTTTAGACTAATTTTTGTACATTTTACATTATTTATATATTATTTACAAGATTTTTTAACTCTCTTTTTTACTTATAAAACCTTACTTTTCAACCTAGTATCATTCAGAACTATGTTTATGTATTCAAAATGTCTTGCATAAGTGCAGTGGCTTTTATACTTCATTAGAGAGATTAAAAACATAATTACATAAAACATGCTAGTGCTTATCTCCTTGTTTAATAACATGCCAAATGTACCGAATATAATTTTAGTTGTTTGTTTCTATGGTAATACATTTTATTTCATGTACAGTTTATATATAAATAACAGGTGTATATGTGCAGAAGTCATCAAAATATGTATTTTTCCTTCTTGTAGGTGAATTTGTATGTTCACGGGTTCATATATCTGTATGTATTTTTCTCCCAGGTGTTTCCCTTATATAGAGATTTGTGAACTTTTTTGACTTAAGCCCCACCCCCAAGGCATGAGGCATCCTGACTAAAGATCCATAGAAGTGGAGTACCATCCACCATAAAAATATACATTAACAGAATTCCTTCATTTTCTGTTATAAATTCTAACCCACACATTGTTTATTATCATTGCTTATTGTGATTCCCTTATAGTCGCCCATATTTCTATCATAATGTTACATATTGTTAGAATGGGAACTGTTAGAAAAGTCTGAAAATGCATGGTTGAACAGAAGCTCTTCTTGCACTCCAAGTATGTAAGAGCAGGTCATGTAGATTAATTCATCTTAGGTATCGGGGTCATTTGGGAAGTAATGTTTTCTTTGTGATATAGTCCATTTGAAGTTTGTAGTTTCCACTTTGGAAACCCCCTGCTGTAGTACATTAAAAAATGTATAATACATTTATGATTTGTTTACAAAACATTTTGTATACATAATGTATTCTCACTACTTACAGGTTCAAAAGACAGATGTGGATGACCAAAATTATGATATACTTTTAAAAGTGGTAAGCTTTGTATATGTCAGAATGTAGCATTTGTAGTGTGTCAGTATGTTTCATAAAATTTTATTTATCTTCACACTAATTAAGTTTATGATGGATAAGCATTTTAAGCTGGTCTATGGTAAAAACTGTTTGATATCGACTTGGTATCATTCAGATATTTTGAAAGTTATTCACTTTAAATCTCAGAAGGAATATGAATTGAAGTGAGAGTGAAAACAAATAGTAGAATTTGCTGTTCAGTTATTCATTAGCCTTATTCAAATTGTATTCAAATATTGGGCAATAGTGAGAATGAAAATATTGCATGTTTTTTATGTACTCGTACATTGTTTATTATAGGTTAAAAATAATTGAGATACTGGTAATAAAACTTACAGAATGTATACAAGATAGTGTTCAAAGATACTGAATAATATTTAGTATTAACTTCATTAATATTACCTGCATTCAGGATTAAACAGGTATTGCCTAAAATGATCCTGCAATTACACACCTTACACATTATATATACATCAAATTGTACAATATGTCACACTTGGTCTTAAGTAATACTTTCTTTTTAAATTTGCCATTTCAGCTCATTTTTGGTACTGTGAGGAGCATTTACCATCAGTTGGACCCACTATTTTATTTATTTATACTCAGCATCATTAGTTTTCATTCATAGATTTGAAGCACAATGAAAATTTCCAATATTTATTACATTGAACAAATATTTGTATCTGACGTTATTCAAGTTGAGTTATGTAAAACACTTTATTAGATTTCATTCTTCCAGAGCTTCCTATATTGGAGGTAAATGCTAAACATTGTGTCCTTAACATTGAGTTACATGTATTACTTTCTATAGTGAACACTTAACTTGAGTTGAAGGAATGCATCCATTGCCAAAGCCTGAGGGTGAGGTACTGGAGACCAAATTGCCAGTTGTTTGGTATTCCAAAGAGTGGCCAGCCTGCCAATTATCAGTGTTTCAAAATGAGAGCCAATCCAACAGTTTGGGAAAATCTGTTTGGGTTGAGACAATTGGTCTGTTACCACAGTCATCACCTATGGGACATGACAATCTGGTATGGTGACAAGATATGAGTGGTTCCAAGAAAGGAGATCCAAAGTTCAAAAACAAGGAACCCTGGATCAAGTGCCCCTTGACAGGAAATGCAAGCCACCACCATGCAATTGTTGGAGTGAAGCCCAATGATTTTCCCCTTAATAAGCCCAGACCATGAGGCATTGCCTTTTGAAGAGCACAAAGGTCTAAAACACTGTTTATGGAAGCCTTGTTGTCTGTGCATTAACCCTGGAATTCCTGACTATTGAGATATGCACCCTATCCCTGGAGTGAGGCATTTGTGAAGAGATGGATCTCTACATGAGGTGGCAGCAGAGGAACTCATATCATAATATTGTCCCAATCTAACAACCCCTCGAGACTGAAGAATGAAAGGATCTCTTCTGCGCTTATCCCAAAGGCATGAGGGAATCGAGAGATGTCTACATTCACAAAAAAGAAAGAACCATCCATGCAGTGGGTGAAGGAGAGGTGAGTAAGAGTTGGGTTTTGTGTTTCATAGCATGGAGCTGGATAGGAGTCGGCTGAGTCCAACTGAGTTATATGATAAAAAATACTCAGACTGATGACATATCGATTTGGAGCAAGAATAGAAGTCCCAGCTCTGAGAATGAAACCTGCCTCGGTTGGTTTTGAAGTTGAATCTGGGTGTGATCTTCCGCAAACTGAGAGATGGTGCCAGCAGCAACTAGTCATCCATGGATTGGTGTGTGCACAGGCCTAGGGAAAGGAGGTAATGAGATAAAACTTGTACAATTTGGCAGAACACATATGGTACTAATGCTAGTCCGAAGGGCAGAGTCCTGAACTGCAGTATCTGACATTTGTGCACAAAAAATGCTGATAGTGGTGGGACACTACTATGGCAATGTGCAGGGGCTAGCCGACTACATTAAACTTGGACATCCACAATCCTGATAAAAAAAAGCCAACTCAGAGTGAGGAATGGGTCACTTGTGAACTGTGAAGAATCGAGGAATTGATATAGACGAGAAAAGTTGATGACTGGATACCAATCTCCTGTGTTCTTGGGCCCAACAGACTGATGGGAATAAAAGCTCCATAAGAACTGGCACGACTCTCTCTCTCTCTCTACCTCCAGACCAAACAAACTCTGATAGCCCTAGAACTAAATTCCGAAATCCGAGGATCTATGGGAGATGGGAACCCTACAGGTTGGGTGGAAAATGGTGGTGAAGATGTAAACTGAATGCCTATTCCTGACTCAAGGACATGTAGTACCCAAGGATCTGTGGTTAAGGTTTTTCACAAGTCCAGAAATTCTCAGAGCTAATCCTCCCACAGACCTTGAAGGAGATAAGGCATAGCTGTTCCTTCATGTGACTGAGCAGTAAGCCTCCCTGCATGAACCACAATGTCAGTGGATGGAGGGAAAACTAAGTAGTTGCTCCCATACCTTTCAGCCATAATGTAAGGTGCAGGCTCAAAAGCAACTGGGGAAAGACCTAAAACATCACACACTTGATGGAACAACTGAATAAAAAGAGCCTGAGGCAGTTTATCTCAAAGTGGCCTCCTGAGAAGCCAACAGAATTAAAGAAGGCACAGGAAAATACAAATCTAAATTCTCTCCAAAATGTCCAGGATCACCCTCACTTACAGCCTCAGAGCCTCCCTCAGAAACACCACTGGACCAAGTAAATGTGTCTTCATCTCACTACTAGTAAGGTCACTGACAGTCCCAACCTGAGAGTGACTCCCCCCATATTATTGCTAGGTAGGATAGGAGAGACCTGATTTACCTCTATGCTGGAAATAATAATCTGGTACTTCATGCTGTATATCGACTTGTCAAATGAAAAAAAAATCATTTTTTTTTTCAAAATGAACTAGGTAATATGAAGAACACTCAAAGTATCTCCTAATGACTGTAACACAGAGAATCCTGTTAGTGAACAGTTCAGCAAGAAAAAGTGACTACATTATTTGAATGAGGTACTTATATACAGTACCAGGATAGAGGGCACATTGATGTAGGTGGAGAGTGTCATGTGACATATATTGCCATTGGCAGTTAAGTGGAATGTGAAATACTGGAGCAAGTGAGAAAAAATCAGACCAGTGCTTAGAAAGGCAAAGGAAGAAACCCTGGCTGTCGAGTAATAACTGTAGTGTGAGAGACGTAAGTATTATTGAAAATATATTTTCGATTTAAGAAAATACCAATTTTAGCATTATATAAAAAGATAAACAACAAAATAGAAATATGAGGGTACCCAACTGATGAAACAATACAATGTAAGAAAAGCATATTTAATTAGCTATACTGATGGCCAGGTTGATTTTTAACTTCTCTCTCTCTCTAAGTACATAACTGATCAGAAGTTGTTATTAGTGTGGTGCAAATAAAGTGTATCCAACATTTATAGTCAAAAGATATTTCATATTTATTAAACTGATGCATGCATACGTAGGCTTATATGAAATTAGGGTAAAATATAGATAGGAAAATGTTCTAACATATTGTTCATGATTTTCCTTTCAGTTATTAACTATCATAGTTTAGGAGTTAGCAACAGCCAGAAATGATTATATCTTTCCCCACCATATTTATGGGGAGGGGAGGGGTGTCATGACAAATTGTAGTACACATTTTTTTCTATAGGTCACTGTTTTTCTTGACATCGTATTTGCTGATTATTGGTATACAGTACACCTCAAGAGATAGGTGTTCCATTAAGATGTCCTTTGATCTACCAGTCAGTTATTGAATTATGCTCCAATGTTTGGCAACAATAACCCTGATCTTTAAAAAAAGTGATATTAAGCTATTTATAATATATGTCTAAAATATTCACCATAAAAATGTATGTACGTCACTGCCAAAATGATTGAAAAAGTTATTTTACATATATACACATGTGGAATGTATGCACTTCCCTTTTATTAACCCTTTAAGCTATTTAAAAGGTATAATAATCATATTATGTTATGATTTTAGCTAGATTGTTTCTGTAAGTTTAAGATATGTTTATTTCTTATTTTCACATTTCTGTTCGTATAAGACTTTTAAATGCATAATGTCTAGATTCTAACGTATTAAAACAAACAATTTGAAATTGCGACATTGTTTAACTGTAACATTATTTAATCAATAAAAATTAATTTATGTGCATATGCGTAGTTAAGTAAGATGTTTCAATACTTCCATACCTTGAAATAACAAAGATATTTTTTAGTATAGACTTGTAACATTTGTGTAATCATTTACTATTGAGGTGAATGCCTTACAAACATCAACAAGTAGTTGTATCCAATATCTACAGTTAGCTTTATATCCTAATATATTTTAGACTGCTTTAGTGGATATACAATAAACATCTTGAAGAAACATTTAGTCTCATTTACCAAAACAATCTAAATGTTGTGAGAAACATTAGTGTACATTTCCTGACTTACCCTAAAAATGGTCAGCAAATATTATAAGTTACCTAGACACAAAAGATTGGAATAGGATGTATCAAGTAAATTTTGACAATTTATCCAAAAACATGCATTATATACAGAGGTGTATAGTGTATACACACAGTTTTGCCAATTTTCATCAAAACTGTCATCATTATCATCAAAATTATCACTATCAACATGTGGTGTTATTGTTTGGATTTTCACCATTATCAGTCATAAAACACAAGCCTCTATGTATGACATATGCAGTCAGTATGATGGCAGACAGACTTTGCACAGTGGCAAGCAACCAACCCTTGAATAGTGACCTGTATTAAAAGATGTATACAACAACTTGGCTTAACACCTCCTCAAACCTTAAATAGGAAAGGTTGTCCTATCATAATACGTAGCTAAATGTTATACGTGTTGTGGGTTGAGCAAAATCGTAAAATAAGGCCTTAAGATAAACAACTCTGATTATAAGACGATAAACACTTAATCAACAAAATTGAAATGCTTGCTGTAATAAATATTCAATTATTTTATCAAATTTAAAACAAAATAATATTAAATGGCATACCATAAAGACAACTTAAAGAAGAAAGACTGAAATTAGCATTTTAAGATTGTAGATAAAGTTTGTTCTCTAATGACAACTTGGAATACTGAATTAAATGTACTTTATTAAAAACACTTAGAAAAGCATATTGATTGGTTAGGAACTTTCATATGTTTTTAATGAATTCTAAGGTGGAGAATTATATTCTGATTATAATTATCACAAAAACAGAGTGAGAATGCATAATAACATTCTATGACAACCTTTTGTGCTAAACTTAATTCTTTTTAATCCTGTTTATTATTCAGAATGTCACTCCCTGAATTTTATTCATAGGATTTTTGTACAGAAAGAGTTTCTCCTTCACTCAGAAATCTTTCTTTTGTTGTGAGCGCGTTGTCAAAATGATAGACCCACTATTCAGAATAGCCATTTTCATCTTCAGTATCATTCATTTGGAGTTTATTTTCATTATTTGTTGTTATGTAAACGTTTTGTGGGAATTATGGTGGCCATTTTAGATGTTTTTAATTTTTGCTTTTACAAGTGTTTAACTATCATAGTTGAGTTTACCTTCTAGATATGTAATATGGGAATATATCTTTTGCAGTATTTCATTTGTTCACATTACCTTACTACATGATGTTAACTTAGAATAGTGAAGCTAAGATAGAATTCATAGTGATATTTTACCTAGCATCACGACTTTCCAGTGGTCAGTAAAAATGGAAACTGTATAATCTAGAACTTATTAATTTTGTATAATCTTACAATTTTACAGTACGAAGCATACCATAATCTTACGTTATTAGAAGTTTAAACATTCTAAAAAAATTATCAAGCTATATCCATATTTGAATATGGTAGTATCGACTAATATACTTTATTAGGATTTACTTTAGTTGAGTTTATAAGCTATTTCTAATCTGCTAGTCTACCCTTCTTGGTAAGTGTACTTACTTTCAAACATTTTATGTACTATAACTTAGCATACTAATAAACTGGCAAACAATGATATTTATAAGCATAATGAAATGGTTTATTTTTGGGGGAACATACTACATATTTTGAAGAAGACAGATAAATGTTCTGTTGAAACATGTAGTATATTTTCCCCAAATAAATACTTCATTATGCTTACAAATCATTGTTTGCCAATTTTTTATTATATTAGCATAATGTGCTTCCATACTCAAATATAACTTGTCATATTTTATTCCATTTTCAAACTAATTTTTACTTCTCTGAAATCCAACAAGTTAAGTGTATCCAGAAGTAGAGTAATTTCTATGAGTAGCTCCACTAAATAGACTGTCATGTACTTATTGGTGGAACTATAGCAAGTTCAAGAACCATTGCTTTTGTACTCGACGGGTGGCTGATGAGGAAAGTGTGGTAAAAATATTTCATTATATGACTTAAGTGTCTACTGGGGTTTCGTGAAGTAGAAAAATGAAAGTTTCAAACCTTGTACAGTTTGTTTCACAAGGGTTTGGAATCATTTGTGACGTGGAGGAGGGAAGTGACTGGGGGGGTACCAGTTTTAACTTTCATACAAAAAATAAAGATTTACCTGGCCATACCTATCATTTGTTTCATCCTTCAACATGTGTTTGATGCCCCTTCATGAGTATCAGTTACATAAAACTGAAGAAATGACTGGCACCAATGTTTTTGCTTTGAGACATGGAAAAAAACAGATGGGCATGACTGTAAATGAGAATTTATAGGCATGATTTCTCAGTGCAACATATTGACACTCTTGTAAATATTTCTGTACCTTTGAAAGAATATCAATAACCATTTGGATTTTTTTATAAAAGTAATAAACAGAACATTTTCTTAATACAGACTGAATCTGCTATTAAACTCCTAGAAACAAAGTTCAATATAGGACTCAAAGAACTCGAAAATAGTTCTGGACTTTCAAGAGTCCAGAACAGTTCTAGATTCAAGTTCTGTTTAGCACATCTCCATGTACGAATAAAATGGCAGAAAATACTTGGATTCACGATGAAATTTTTAGTCTCCATGATGACCTGGGATTTGTCGAGGCCCATCTTAATGTAATCCCTGATGTTTATCTAGAAACCAGTATATATTTGAATTCTGTTTTAATTCTAAAATAAGTATTCCATATTATTTTGCTTCTAAAAGTGTAGGCTACAAAAACTGAAGGTTGTCTCGACATATGCTCTATTTCTTCATCAAACATAATGTTATGAAAACCCTTGACTCTTGTACTTGCAGAATGTGAAGCACTCTTCATCCATAGAAAGTAGATAAAGCAGATAGAGGGTATTTTCTGTTGTGATTATTCAATCAGTGGTTTATTTAAGCAGCTTAGAACTAATTGGAAAGTTATATCACACATTGTTGATCTTGTGACTACGTTACAGCTTCAGTGTGTGTATATTATTTTTTCTTTCTATTTTATTTCTCAAAATCAGATTGTATGATATTCAGAATGACACTACTAATATTATGTTTTTAAACTTGCATATATAGAAATGAAATTTAAAAATAAATCATTGTTTGACCTTGATGTTTAATTGGATGTTATTTTGTGAACACATTTACTCCACTTGTTTTTGAACTAATGTATTAATTCCCAGAATGTCATTCTTAATACATGAGTTTAAATGATAATTAATACACAATGGGTTAATATGCACATTCAGAATACTTTATTTGTTAGTTTAGCATAATTAATGTTCTAAAGCTGATATAACAATATTTTTCAGCTTCAGTTTTTTCCACACCATGACCCATCATATATCCTGGAGTTAATGAAATCTTTCCAACACTCCAATCAGGAAATTATGTTGAACAATATTTGCATTTACATTCTGGAAAGTGGATATGACAAGATTTCATTAAATCAGTTAACTGACCAACATGAAAAGACAAAGAGTGATAGTGATGGAAGATTATTTACCTCGGAGATTCAGCTCCACTCTCCTTCGATAAAGATCAAACCTATTCTTTTAACATCAGAAAATGATAGTCTACCAGCTTACAGAAAACGTGTGTTAGATAATGTTGACGAAACTTTATCATCACCCGAGGAGAAAAATAATGCTCCTCCACCTAACAAAAAACTCCTTCAAGATAATGTTGAGCCTGCAAACAGTAATTTTGGTGAGACTTCAACACTAAATGCTGGTAAGATTAACGATAAGTCCACTCAAAGTGCACATAAAACTTTCCAGTCAGAACCTGCATATGATCAGTATCCTGTTAATTGCACTGAAATAAATCAGACAGATGAAACTGACTGTGTCAAAAAGGTAAGATATGTGTAGTAGACATATGTATAAAGAAGACTATATTTTAATTTTTTTTTACATGTATTTATATTTTTATAAGATGTACATAAATTATTTTTACAGATTGAAAGTTCATGAAACAGATCCAAGTTTCATTTTAAAATAAAGGATCGAGGAAAATGGTTGTAGAAAATTAATTCACAAATTTCTTTTAGTTCACTTAACTCTGTGAAAACCCATGTTGTTGGTAAGCTAATTTACAACCACTGACCAGTTATTTGGTTGTGTAACGTGCTTTTGGTTATTGCAAAATAATGGTTTTGATCTGAAATTTCTTATTTCCATAGTTAGCCTCTCTGTATTGATATTTTCTAATGTTGGATACATACGCTCTTTAGAAGCAAATCTTATTACTTTTCAACAGCAAAAAGTAAAGATTATCGTAGTTATTTTATGTACTTTATAAATATCATAAAAATCAAAACTAACCATTCTCAGTTAAAGTTACACTATTTTATTTGTTTAGCACTGTAGTACATGTTTGTTCAGGTCTTGTTTTTTATGGAGTGGAAAAAATTTACAAATTTTATGAAGATCAAATAAATTATATTTTTTGCAAGTTTTTTACATTCTGAGTGGCAAAAAGAATTTTGATAAACGAATCTTTAGCCTAATTTTATGGGGATATGTCAGTTGTCTGAACCTGAAAATTTTCCAGTTTCGGTTTTGTGTTGTTATAAAACTTCCATTTCAATTGAGCTTTTCACTAAGGTTGGTTATATAATGTGTAGATTATTTTCTGTTTTTTTATTGGAATTTATTTCAAATAATATAAGCTCAAGAGTTGCTCGAAAGTTAGTGGGTCATCTTTCTAAATAGTACAAGCTAAGGCAAGTCTTTCCAGTTATAAAAAAATCTTGGTTGTTTAGGGTAATCAATGAGAAAAAATCACATTACCTACATTGTAATACAATAAATTTTGCCTGTACTAGTTTTCATGTAAGTGGAACTCAAAAGTGCTTATGGTACTATCCTCTCAGTGTATAACTGTTGTTTGCATCAGTAAATGTTTCTCATTCTTTAAGTTTGTACCTTTGCCACATTTATGTTGGATGGAAATTTTGTTCAAAAACAACTTAGGATTTTACCAGTAAATGACTTGACTATTTATGGTCTTGTACATGAATAGTTACAAACTGAAATAATTGTAAATTGTAGGAAGTTTGTAATTTTGGGATTATGCTTTATGAACAAGTACATGCTCATCGAATGAAAATATTACATTAACTGAATAACCAATTAAATCTGCAAATTACACTGGTTTATTGAATTCAACAGGGAATCAAGCTGAAATTACCATTATTAGAAACATCCATTTATTGCTGTTATGACAGGGAAATTGTACAGGGTGCAAAGTTCCTTGGCTCTTTGGGTTTTCTCACCAGTATTACCACTGTACTTCTGATTAAAAATTTGTGTTTGCATCTGTTTCCAAGCAGTATTTAATGACAAAACCAATCTGATCTGGTGGAATTTTAGATTATTTTTTCTTATTAGCTTGTAATTAACTTACAGGGTAAGATGGAAATTACCAGAGAAAGTATATATGTGTGTGTGTGTGTGTGTACATATAATATAAACATACCCACACACATTTCACCACTCACCAGACACAAAACAATTAACATCTGTGTACACTAGAGTATAATTTTGAAGTGATCTCACAGAGTATCTTTAGTCTTAATCATGTTGCAGTTTGGATTTTAAGGCTTATAGTAGTTGTAAAAAAAACTGGTTTACAAATGTGGAATTTATAAAAATTATTTTTGTTTTACATACACATGATAGAAAACTCACATAAGTACTATAAAGTGATTGACGAGGTATTTCGTTATGCTAATGACATGAAATTTATTTTTCTATTTATAATCAATAGTTCTGTGTGTGTATATGTATGTATATGTATTTTAATAAGTATCTTCATAGTCGGAAGCAAAATACTTCTATGCAACAGAAGTCTCTTATTTCAACACTTCTTTGTACTCTTGCTACTGTGATACATGTTTTCAACTTCTAATACTTTAAAGTATATGTAAATATATTATAGGAACAATAACTATCTCCATATTTCTGTGATTATATTAATACCCCGTTTCACCATTGTTCAGTTAGTATAGATTATATTTATTTAGGTAACTTTTAAAATTTATTGAAGGTGTTTTGCATGTATTTAACAAATTTGTAATAAACTGGGTGTATAATGAACATGAACATACACTAATCCTCTTGCTTAGGTAAATGTTACACACTATTACTGTAACAGCTATCTTAGTAGCACTTATTAGCTTTAACTTGTCTAATTTCTGAGGTGTGGGTAAGTTCATTTTAATGGTTAACACAAACACATATGAAAATTATTTGAATTTGGATGTTCTCTCCTTTTAAAATGTTATTTGGAATAGCTATTGATATAGGTAAGTACATTTTATGGGATACCATCTTAGGAACCCAATCTGACTTGTAAGTGTGGTATTACATTATCTTTGCTTCTTTCATTGTCTTGTGCAGATGTGTTTTTTCTTTGCTGCTTTTGTGTTTGGTGTAGATATGAAATTAATCTTTCCTACAATAGTATCTTAGCAACTATTGAGTCGCAATAGAAGCTAGCCAACTTGGTTCCATACTTGCACTGTTTGTGAACAACATTTTGTTTTATTTTTTTCACTTGTGTTGTTTGTCTTTCTTTGATGTCTGTTCATTTAAATACTTTGCATAACATTTCCAGAACCTGTATTTATCAGATACTTGATTCTTAGGTATCATATCTGTAAAACATGTTAATTTATTTCATGGATCTCTGTTTTCTTTGATGTCTGTTCATTTAAATACTTTGCATAACATTTCCAGAACCTGTATTTATCAGATACTTGATTCTTAGGTATCATATCTGTAAAACATGGTAATTTATTTCATGGATCTCTGTTTTCTTTGACAACTTTTCCTCATTCATTGAATCAGTAATATCACTGAAAACTTTTTTGTCAGCTTACATTGGTTAACTTAAAAAAAAAAAGAAGACATTTCACAGGTATTATGTTGTTCCACATATGGCTTCACTTAAGTTGTATTGGTTATGACTCATTAGGATGGCAGACTAGTATCATGTGGTATCAGGTGTGGTTGTAAGTAGAATAGCATATCAATATCATGTTGCATCATGTATGATTTGAAACAATGAAATATTAATATCATGTTAATTTAGATTAAGTATAATTAGAATGTAATATAATTATTATGTTGTATAAGGCATGAGTATGTCTTTATCCAGAAAACGTGAATTTGCACTACTGTGTGATGATGTATTGTGCAGCAAAAGGAATACAACATTAACTCCCTGCATAAATCCTTCTCCTACATTCATGCAGGAAAATCCTGATTCTTAGACATGTTTGTTTTTGCTGAGACTTGTTGAGGTCAATATTTCAACTTTTCTTTGTATTTTCAACCTTTCACTAGGAATTCACAGATTAAGGTGAATTATTTTTCTGCTGATGTGAATACAGATATGACTCCCAGTTACCAGCAACTTAGCAAGTTCTTGCCTGTTGAGATCATGACAGCTATCATGTATTAGGTTGACAAATACAGTAAGAAGAGTAACATGTTCAACATGTGGTGGGGTCCATGTTGCCACTTGGATCCTCTTCTTCCATCTCTGTCTCACATTTAGTTTCTCAGATTTTGAAGCTGAAATTCAGGAGGATGAAATGGAGTAACTTGTACATTTAATACTTCTCTACATAGTGAATATCTCTTGAATTTTTCTTGCCTTACAAATACCTTCTATCTGTTGTTTCATATCTTCTCCACTATTAGTGCTGCACCCTGAATTACTTTGGGATTCAGTTTGCTCCTGCTGTTTTTGCCTTACCAGGTAACACGTATAAGTTCATTTTTAGATATAATTTATTCTTTGTTAACATGTTGCTCATGGGACTTAATGTTTAGAGATTGTTTATCACTCCTTAACATGACCACATACATTATATCATTTAGAACTAGTTCATTCATTACTCCTTAACTTGTGCTCCTTAGACTGTAATGTTTAATCATAATTACTGAATCCTTAATATATATCACACTGTATATTCTGTTTAGTCATATTTCATCTCTCTTTCACATGTACATGTAGATAGTTGGTCATATACACTTATTCTTTACGATGTAAACATCGATATTCATGTATACTTACAGTCAGTTGTTGATATTTTGTTCTGGTTTATTACTTCTCATTCATTACCTCTTCACATGTACTTTTGGTAGATAATGCTTAGTCTTAATTGATTTTACTTTGCCATGTGTACATAACTATTAATGTTTAATCTTAGTTTCTTATTCTTTAACATATATACCTAAAAGATAACATTTAGTTTTGTGCATCAATTCTTCACTTGTTAATGCTTAGTCTTGATTAATCATTCCTTGCCATGTAGACATTTATGCTAATTCTTAGTTCTAGTTTTTACTTGTTAATATGTATACATAGAAGATAATGTTTTGATTTTGTTCATTACTCTTACCATGCCCACATAGATAGTAATGTTTACATCAAGTTCATTATTTCTTGACATGTACACATGGAAGGTAATGCTTATTCTAGCTGATTATACTTTGCCATGTACACATAACTGTCAACGTTTAATTCTAGATTCTTATTCTTTAACATGTACAACTAGTGGTTCTTGTTCTTTCCTTCTTCAAATGTTTGTTTGTTCTGTTTTCTCCTTGTTCCTCCTTTTTGTTGCCTTGTCACATCCCCATTTCCGGTCTCTTGTGCCTCAATCCTCAGCCGCATGGCCAGGTGGCTAGAGCGCTCAACTTGCAATCTGCGGGTCGCGGGTTCGATTTCCCGTCCCACCAAACATGCTTGCCCTTTCAGTCGTGGGGGCATTATAATATGATGGTCAATCCCATTATTTGTTGGTAAAAGAGTAGCCCAAGAGTTGGCGGTGGGTGGTAAT